TGTAGGTACAAAGGCCAGAAAACAAGCCGAGTCAGAAGCCACAGTCTGAATGAAAGTAAGCATCAGGGCCCCTGGGCCGGGCTGGAACCTTTGTGCAGGGAGGGAGGAGAGGGCAGGACCAGCCCAGATGTTCTGTCCCCCCATGGGGGCCTCTGCTCTTTTACAGGCTCTGCCTCCCAGCATCTCTCCTTCAAGGGACCACGCACGTCATATCAACGACCCAATGTGACCCTTTGAGGCTCTTCATCCCAATGCCTGGCACACAGCAGGCACTTAATAAATACCCGCCAACTGGCTAAGTCAGCACTAGGTCAGGGAAGGCTTTCGCTAGGCATCTGATGCCCATTAGTTTTCCATCCCACTTCCTTCTCGCCGACCTAGGGACAACTTGGCCGGTTCCCTCGCCCCTGAAGAGCCCTTCTCTTCACCCTTCCCTTCGCTGGGGTGGCTCCTGTTGGCATTTCCAAATTGCCTTTTTCCTTCTGGCCTACATCTTCCAGCAAATGTTGAGAAAGAAAACTGTCTTATCCAAAGAACCCAACCCTGCAGCCTGCAGGGACAGGAAGGAGGGGGAAGAAGAAAGGAAGGAAGGACGTGTCTGGGCCAACTTAAAAACCACCAGAGCCAGAACTCATTTCTGAAATCTGGCTCTGAAAACAGAGCAGATAATGGTGCTATGGGGCTGCACCATTCACAGGTGTCTCCAGCGGGCCAACAAGTGGAGGGGCCACTAACTGGGTGCTCAGCAGAGTGAAGCCACAAAGGAATGAAGTACCTACTATGTGCTGAGTACTGGGCCACACATTAGGGACACAAAGGGTGAACAGAAAGAGGCACCCCTAGAGAATTCTCCCACTGTTCTCCTGTCATTCCATCTTGCCTTTCTTTGTACCCCCGGCAGTTAGCACGCTGTTTGCTCCATGTGTATGTTTATAACTGGTAAAACTCTCTGTCTTTTCAAAGAATCTTACAAGTCAGTCATTTGATTTCTTTGGTCTTCAGGTAACACTGGTCTAACATTAACCATGGGAAACCCAAAATGCCTGGGAGGAAGGACTTGACCAATGTGGAAAGAACGCTGCCTTTGGTGTCCCAGGTCCTGGGTTCAAATGCCAACTCTGTCATGTCATGCTTTGGAAGCTGCTGGTGGTACAATGGATGAAGGGCTGGGCCTAGAATCAGGAAGACCTGAATTCAAATCCAGCCTCAGACACTTACTAGTTGCATGACTCTCAGCAAATCGCTTAATCTCTGTGCCTCAGTTTCCTCAACTGTAAAATGGGCTGGAGAAGAAAATGACCAACCAATACAGTATCTTTCCCAAGAAAACCCCAAACGGGGTCACGAAGAGTTGGACGTGACTGAAACAACCGAACAACAAAAACATGAATGGGGATAATAATACCACCGACCTCACAGGGCTGTTGTGAGGAGCAAATCAGCCATTTGTAAAGCACCTTGCAAAACCTTAAAGTGCTATATAAATGCTAGCTGGTACTATTACTATTATTTCACCTCCTTGAGTCTTGGTTTCCTCACCTGTAAAATGGGGCTGGATGACAGCTGTGAGGTCCCTTCTCCACCTAAAACTAAAGCCTGTCACAGCCGGGCACTATCCCGCCATGCAGGCCTTCTTTCTGTTCCTTGCACGTGACATTCCCATCTCCCCTCTCCAGGCTTTTGCACCAGCTGTCCCCTCCTCCTGGAATGCCCTCCCTCCTGACCTCTCAGACGCTCTACTTTTCTTTAAAGCTCAGCTCCAGCCTTTCTCGACTCCTCAGCTGCTAATTCCTCTTTTATTTTTGCATATACTCATCTATGTAGCGTTTTGTAGACATAGAATGGAAGTTCCTTGAGGGCAGGTTTCATTTTTGTCTCCTTATGCCCAGCACTTAGGTGCTGTTTCTTGATTGGCTCACTGACTGATCCTACAATAAATAAGCTGGGGAAACAAACACCTTGGTGCTAAAGCCCTAATTATGCAGCCGCTCCCCCAGTAACAACAACATGATGGCCTGTGGGAGATTGTGGAGCAGGCCTGGATGCCCAGGGCCATCTGCGATGCTGGAGGGCATACACATAGGTGCACTGCAGCACTGGACATTTATATGGGGCTTCCACATTTGCAAAACCAAGAATCTCACTTGAGCCTCACACCAACCCCAGGAGACAGGCACAACGGGTGTTATACCCATATTATAGATGAGGAAGCTGGGGCTGAGAGGCGCTAGGCAACTTGCCCATGCAAGCCCACCCAACTAGCTGGTAAAAGCCTGAGGATCGGAATCCAGGGGATCCTCACTGCGAACGAAGCCCTGTCTACAGGCACAATACCTCAGTGGGACTAAGACACCTTGCCCCTCCAATTACAGAAAAAAGTCACTGCCCATCACCAGTCCCCAAGGGGAGCAGATTGCCCAGAGTTAAAGACTCCTGTTCAACAGCACTCAGAGCAGCAAAGGGAGGAGGGAGGTGGGACAGCCCACAAGGGCTCCCCTGCCTTTGAGGAAAGCTTCCCATCACAGGGACATCGCTTCACAGTCTGTAGCGCCACAATCATGAGTCATCAAGGGTGACCTTGGCGACTACATCAGAGGAAGAAACAAGCTGGGCTTCCGAGTCAGAGCACCTGGGTTCCCATCCCACCTCTGTGACTTCTCCACCATCTCCAGTGACCTCGCCTGTAAAATCCACTGTGCCGCCCACCTCTCACCCAACAGGAACACGGAAAGCACAGCTGCCTTCAATGACCACATTAGCTCACACTGGGAAACGTGTAAGACTATATATGCACACACATAGTGGGTCGCAAAAGTCTTACTGTCACTTGAAGCTTTGCAGTTAGAAGTGTTTAGTTTCCAACTGCTCTAAGACTTTTGGGTCGTCCTGTATGTACACGTACGTGTATACACATACACACATTATACACATACATTTGCATACATACAGCCTGTGGTTTGATTAGTGAGCTCTCCCAGCATGGAGACTGCCGTCACTGATACAGATCAGCAATCCATCTATACCTTACAGTCTTCAGGAGTCCCCTGGGGCAGAGCCCCTAACCCTACAGCAGGCTCTGCATTCTACCACGTTTGCCTACAAGGTTTATTATCTCCCATGTGTGCATGACGTTCAGACCAGCCCGTTGTCCGCTAAGCCATCCTGGCCGTCACAATTCTTTCCACAACCACCCTGTGAGGTAGGTAGTGCAAACATTATTATTTTCATCTATTTTTAAAAAAATGATGCCTAGCATTTATATAACACTTAAGTGTTTTGCAAAGCATTTTGCAAATATTATCCCACTGAAGTGGGTGCTGTTATTAGAAGGGAAGTGAGGCAGGTCCTTGCCCAGGATCACACAGTGTCTGAGGCTGGATTTGAACTCGGGTCTTCAAACTCCAAAGCTAGCATTCTATGTACTGAACTACCCAGCTGCCTCTTAAGGGGGAATCATCAAGTTGAACCCCGTTCCCTTTACAGATGAGGGAGCAAAGAGACGTTAAGGGACTTGCCTAAATTCAGCTAAGTAGCAGGATCAGGAATTCAAATCCAGGGCCTCAGTGCCACTGTTCAAGCTGCCTTCCAGGGAGTAGAACAAATGACTCCGAAAGTCCTCTCCAGGTTTAACTGGATGATCTACATTTTTACAGAGGAGGAAACTGAGGCTGGAAGGAGCCTAAGTGACTTGCCCCTGGTCACACTGCTGGTAACATCCAGAACTGAGACCACACCATTTGTTCTGTCCACTGCCCTGTGCCAATAGCCCTCTTCCTTAACTAGCCCACGGGGACAGAGCAAAGAGAGTCTCTGGCTGGAGGCTTTATTAATTACGTGGCTTTTCTCTGCAACGGCTCCAAGTTCCATCCTGGGTCCAGGTTGACGCTGAAGCCACCTGCACCAGAGGAAGGCCTGCACACATCTGCTCCCAAAGTCAAACTCAGACTTACGGGCACACATGCCCCGCCAGCCAGAAGATGCCCGAGTAAGAATGAACCAAAGGGCCGGCGGCAGAGCCCTAGGAGAAAGGGCCACCCCCTCGTCCCCTCACCACTACCCAGGGCCTCTCAAAAAGACCTCCAGCAGAGAGATAGATGCCTCCCTGCTTTTTTGTGTAGTTCTGTTTCTAAAGAGTAGAAGCACAGGTTTCGGAGCAACTAATGGACTGGTTTTGATCACTGGACTCTGCTCAGTTCCAAGCAGGGTGTCAGCTGGGAAACAGATGGCACATGGGGGTGGGGGGAGTGGTTTTGAATCATTTGGAAGCAAATGCACTGAATATTCATCAAGCCCCTTTCGCAGCTGTCAGGGCCCTGGCTTTCTTGTTCTGTGATTCCCAAATGCTTCTGAAACCTCCCCCTGGTAATCGGGTCAGCCAGTGGGGAGAACAGGGCTCTTCCTGGCCCGGGGTTAGTGATGCTGTCACTGGCCAGATGTGCCCCCTGCAGCTGTGAGAGTCCACCGCAAAGGACATATTCCTGGGGTGGGAGAAGCCACAGAAGCTGGGGTACTGAAGAGGGAAGGGTTACACCTTCCCCCCCCCCCCCCCGCTAACACAGTAACAGCCAGCACCAGCACGGCGCCGAATGAGTGGCAAGGCCCCCTCTACATGGGCTACCCCACCTGGTCCCGTGAGGGAGGCGGCTCTTGTGAACCCATTCTACAGAAAGCTGGGGCTGAGGATGGTGCACTCGGGCTCACGCAGCTAGGGAGCGTCTGAGGCAGGAGGTGAACTCAGGCCTTCCTGACTTGAGTGATGGCGCTCTATCCAATGTGCTGCCAAGGAGCCCTACATCTGAGCAAAGCAGATGGGCAGATGGTGAGGGGAGCAAGCCTAGAGCCCACATGGTCCGGCTCCCGACCTTGTATGTAAACCCATTTTTCTTCTGCGTATTTCTAGCAGCCTCCTTTCCATCGGCCCACAGGCCTTTGGGCCATCAGAGCTCCCAACAGCGGCTGAGATTCATCTCTGCTCAGCATCTCCTTGCTCCTATACTCACCCCGTCCCGATAGCAGCAGCCAGGGCAGCCAGATGGCCTGTGGGTCTGGAAGGAGGAAGATCTGGGTTCAAATTCAGCCTCAGACACTTACTAGTGATATGACCCTTAACCGCTGCCTAGCTCAGTTTCCTTAGATGTAAAATGGGGGTAATAACAGCACCTGCCTCCCAGGGTTGTTGTAAGGATCAAATAAGATAATAACTGTAAAGCACTTAGCCCAGTGCCATACTCTTATTATCCAGGACAGCACTGCAGTTGGCCAACGGCGTACGGCGATATAGAAGGAAGTGACTAGACTGAGAGCCAGGAGGAGCTGGGTTCAAATCCTGAATCTGCCACATACCACCACCTGGGTGTGAGACCTTGGATAAGTCAATTAAACTTTCTAGGCCTCATTCCTCACCTGTAGCTGGTCCTGTGAGTTCTAAACTTGTGCTTCTAAGCCACAGACATTGGGAAAGAGTTTGACCCAACTACTCTAGAGGACAAATGAACCAAATAAGCAGCCCTCTTGCCCTCCTCCCCCACCATATTCTATCTAGACCGCTTCCCCGCCATATTCTATCTAGACCACTCCACCGCCCAGCAAAAAGCTTCTAACAAGCAAGATCAGCTTCCAGCTCAAGCCTGGGATGGCCAGGCCTGAGGGCTCCTGGAAATCCACGCGTGCTCTGCCAACTCTCCACCTAAGAAACCCCACCTGTAACAGGGCAGGGTGAGACCTCCCATCACCACGGCTGTGGCCACGGACCCGATGGACCTCAGGCCATGGTACAGGAGGAACCAAGCCTTCAGGCGTGAATTCAGCTCCTACAGAGGCAGCAGGTGCTTGCTACCAAGCCATGGCACCGCGAGATGCCATCTCCATGGCAACATCCCCTTGAGGGCCCGACTCACTTGGGAGTGGAAGCTGGCAGCAGCTCGAGCCCCCATCAGAGGTTGTCGGGCTGGGTCAGTAAGCCAGGGGAGAAGGAGGAGAGGCAGAGAAAGGCATGCAATAATCAAGGCCTCGTGGCTCCTACCCGCTGGGTAGCATGATTGAGCATTTCCTGCCAGGCTGAGTCAAACTGCCGATTGTCGTCCTCCAGGAGCCGCTGCTCAGCCAAGGAGATGGTCTCCTTGGCAGCTCGGAGAACCTCGGTCGCCCTCTGGAAGTCCTGAGTCGCCTTCTGGGCTTCGAGCTGGGCCTAGAAGAGAGACACACCAGCAGACTGAGGCAAAGCCAGACAGGGAGGGCCCCACATTCACACTCCAGGGTGGAAGCGGGCTCACACTCCGGTTAATTAAAAATTAAACACCTAGATGGTTAAATTAGTGTGCCAGTCAGCAACAGAAAGCAGTCAACAGACATTTACAGGGGGCAGAGTTACTTCAGGTAAGAACCAAGTCCCTGCCCTCACAGAGCTTACAGTCTAAAAGAGGTCAGTCCCAAATGCAAACACATAATACCCAGTACATTGATAGGATTATGATTGGGAAGCCAGAAGGGACCTCAGTTCAACCCTTTGGTTTTATGGTTGAGGAAAACAAGGAATGGAAGTGATGAGCGCTTTGACCAAGGTCACGCAGATGATAAGCATCGGAGGTGTTATTTGAACCCAGGCCTCTCACTGACCAGAGACGGCACACTGCCCACTGGGCGCATTATGGTGCCTATTTTTGTTTCGTGTAGCTCCTGGAAAACCTTTTATTTCTTCAGCCAAAATGTGACTAATTCCAGGCTCACCCTTTGTAATACCGGCAGGCAGTTAGGAAATCCCTCATCCAGCCGGTCAGCCCGGGCCGACCAGACCAGCAAGTCCAAGGGCAACACAGATAATCCCAACTCAGCAAGAAGAGTGTGAGGCCATTCCTTCGGGTCTAAAGGTCAGTGAGGCCATAGGGCTCCTGTTGCACAATGCTGCTGGGCCTCTCTGGGCCTCTCCTCTACAACATGGGCACTGCACATCACAGGACCCCAAGAAAACATAATTAAGGGACAGAAGTCATCCTAGTCCAACCCCTCACTTTACAGATGAGCAAAGAGAGGCCCAAAAGCATTTTGTCCAAGGTCACCCGTGCAGGACTGCAGGATGCTGCAGGGCTGGGAGGGGAGCTCCCGGCTGGGGATTCCAAATGCAGAAGGCTAAGTGCTCTTTCCACTGTGGCCCTGATAACCTCCAGAGCTCCTTCCAGGGCCAACATTCTGAAGTAAGGACTTCCTGACAGCTGGTGCAGCCCTCTATCCACTAGACAATCCCAGCCAAGTGGTGCCGTAGTGTGAGGTAACCCAGGGGACAAGCACAGTGCTGACACTCCCAGAGGAGCAGTTACACAGATCTATATACGGTGTGATATGAGTATGTGTTCATACCCCACCTTGTTGATATTGACTTGTTGAGTTCTAATGGGAACCAAAATCTAGAAGCCAGAATGGGCCTTAGACACCACCATTTTACAGATGAGGAAACTGAGGCCCAGTGAAGTCATTAAAGTCAAACAGGTAGAGTTTGAATCCAGGTCTTATGACCCTACAGCCAGGGCTCTTTCCACTATAACCAACAGTTCTCAAAGTATGGTCTGGGGATTCCAAGGAGTCTCCAAGATCCTTTCAGGGGATCTCTGAGGTCAAAATTATTTTCCTAATACTACTAACATGTTTTAATTTCTAATACACTAAATATCAATAGATAAAGCCCACATGAACAAAAACTCTTTAGGGGAAGATCCTCAAAAATCTTTTATTGTATGGAACACCAGCCCTGGAGTCAGGAGGATCTGAGTTCAAATCTGGCCTCAGACACTTTATGCTTACTAGCTGTGTGACCCTGGGCACATCACTTAACACCAATTGCCTCACCAAAAAAAACAACCAACCAAACAAAAATCTTTTATTGTATAAAAGGGTCCCAAGACCAAAAATATTGATACCACTCTAGCACCATTCTGCCTTCTCAATTGGTTAAGTGGGTTTGTCAAATATCTACAAAGTACTCCTTTCTCAGCCTCAGGGAACGGGACAGGGTAATAGTTTAGTTGGGGGTGGGTGGGGTAGGTAGGAACCTATGACTCAGAAAAGATAAAGAAACATCCTACACTCCACACCCATTCTCGTATGACTTGGAGGAAGAAACTACTCACTAAACTAAGGAAACAGCCAACAGATTTCCAGAGGAAAGAAGAATGGACAAATCCACGCTTTCTCCCTCTGGTCCTCCAGCTTGCCTCCGGGCGATGGTAAAGGTAAAGGTTTCATGGGTGGACAGGGAAAAGCTGGGAATTGGGGCCAGCAACAAGGGAACCTGCCCATTCCAAAGCCCTGGCCTGCCGACATAAATGCATCCAGAACTTCAGCCCAAGGGGCACCGGGCACCACAGTCAATGGGACACCACGCAAGCTGTACAGATCCTGTGCCTAGCCAAGGTCACTCACTATGTGAAAGGCGGGGCCTCTGACTCTTATTGCGTCCAATTTCACATCAGTCAAGTGGGGTCACCTGTCCCTTTGGTGAATTTCCAAAACACAGTAGGTCTCTGAGGGCTGTGGTGGATGGCCCTCCCCCTCCCTACCACATTAATGGACAAATCTCATCAATAGTTCTTTCTGTTCCAGAAGAGACTAATTGGAGAGGGACAAACTTGCCCACAGACGCTACCCTGCAAAGGAAGAGAGACATTTGTGTCTGTTCCTTCCAAACTTGGACGCACATTTTTTAAAGCACGTTAATGTTTGTTCCAACTATCTCCAGAAGGTAACGTAAATTCTAACAGTTGGATCTGAGACTCTTAACATTTTCCAGGAAGAAAGGGTTATTTTGTTTTGGGGTATGTGTGTGAACGTGTGTATGTGCATTAAGTGTGAGAGTGTGTGACAATGTGTGTGTGTGTGTGTGTGACAGTATGTGTGTATGTGTTGGTATGAGTATATATGTGAGCATGTGTGTGAGACTGTATGAGTGTGAGACTGTGTGTGTGTGTGTGTGTATGTAAATTCTGTAACACCTAAGTTAAAGTTTTTGTATTTTTTTTTCCCATTTCACTCCAAGCCCTTCTGCTTCTAACATGAACATCCCTTCCCCGCAATCCCCCAAGTAACAGGACAATTCTCCACACAACAGAGACAGACTCTCAGACCCTGCCATAGAAAGCCTCCACTGCATTCCATACCTCCACAAATGAGAAAGTTCTCTTATGAGCTCAAGAGAAGAGAATAATCAGTCTCTGCAGAGAGGAAAGAAAAAAGGCAACCCTCCCCACCTCAATACCCCTTCTTCCTCCCAGCACCACCTCACCTCAATCCATTCTCTATGTTGCTACCAGATTTGTTTTCCTTATGCAAGGCCCCATCTCTCCTCAGCTGGAAACTTTCAATAAAGTCCACATTTTTAAACTTGAAATTCAGGGCCCTCCATGACCTGGGTCACCCTGCCTTTCCAGACTTTTCTCACCTTATCCCTCCTGCTCCTCAATCATTGATAAGCCCTAAGAGGTGCCGGACACCTAGGCCACGCATTGGGGAAACAGATGACTCCTTGTCCTACAACGTCTTCCCACATTCTGGCCTTTGGGTTTTGCCAGAGTCCTTTCCCATGTGCAGAGGCCCTCTCTGATCTTTAAAGGCCAATGCAATTCCATAAGCATTTGTTAAGTGGGAGTTGGGGGGCCAGGAACGGCGCTAGAGAAACAAAAAACCGAACCCCAGCTCACAAGAAGCCGCATTGCAGCTTCCTCAAAGCCTGAGTGACCTCTAGCTCCTCTCCAGCTTGAGACTGAGATCTATGATCTCATGGGTCCAGAACCAGAATCCAAACCCCAGGTCTGCCACTTACTACCTACGTAGCCATGGACGAGTCACATAACCTTTCTGGGACTCAGTTCTTCCTCCTCTGTAGACCGAGGGGGCCAGGCTAGGTCATAAGATCATGGATCTAGAGTTGGACAAGACCTTTGAGGTCATCACGTCCAACCCCTTGTTTTACATATAAAGAAACTGAGGAAGAGCTTCCAGCGACTTTCCTATATCAAACAGCTAGTGAGAGTCAGAAGCAGGATTTGAACCCAAAACCAACATGCTTGACACCATGACAAGATGCCTATCAAAGGTGCATTCATATTCTAAATTCGGGTTGACACTGACTAGTCTGATTTGACTTTGCTACTTTCAGATCATTCCCAACCTAGGATTAGCTTCTTATTGGGATCCTTGGCAGCCCAAACTTCCAAGGCACCGGCTTTGCCAATGCCCCTTGGCAGAGATACCAAGCACAGGGGATAGCCACGGGTAAATGCACCACTGAAACAGCCAGACAATCTCCTGTGTCATTTTTGCTGATTCTCTGTGACCCCATTTGGGGTTTTCTGGGCAAAGATACTGGAGTGGCTTGCCATGTCCTTCTCCAGATCATTGACAGATGAAGAAACTGAGGCATACAGGGTGAAGTGACTTGCCCAGGGTCACACAGCTAGGAAGTGTCTGAGGTCGGATTTGAACTCAGGAAGTTTGATTCCAAGCCCAGTGCTCTACCAACAATCTCCTACGGCATGTATATTAAAAAAAAAAAAAAGCTTTGCAGTCCATTCTTCCTCCGTGGGAAATAGTTTATTAAAATTATGTGTGGAGGAATACAGGGAAGAAGATGGAGCCCTGAGTAGGGGTCTCCCCCAAGCTGCATGTTGATTGTGTGTCTTCACCTTCATCAAGACCCTACTATGTGTGAAAGTTCCGTGTCAGACATTAGCAGTGATACAAGAAGACACAGTCCCTGCCCTCACGGAGCTTAAAATCTAGTTGAAAGATTTAACTTCATGTCTATTCACTATAGGAGGTGTTTCATAAATACTTATGGAGTACTACGTGCCAGGCACCAGGGATAAAAAGAAGGGCAAGCACACGACCCCTGCCCTCGGGGAGCTCTCGCGCTGGACACAGAAGCCACCGGACAATGCCCCACGGCCAGGTGAGACCTGAGGGGGGCACATGGGAGGTGTAGGAGATACCCCGTGGGGACTGCACCCCACATAGGCCTCGTCAGGGAAGGTTGTAGGGAAGGTTGCAGGGATTCCCCAGGGCGTCTGCTCCCACGGGAGAACACCGTAGGTGTGGGGACCACAGCCTGTGCAGAGGATGTGCTAAGGTAAGATGAGGCAAGCTGGGATCGAGAGGATGGGAGGGGGAATCACGTGGAATAGAGCTAGAAAAGGTAGCTGG